GCGCAGCGTTCAATTGCAAAAATTGCCGTTGCCGTTGCCGTTGCCGTTGCTGTTGCTGTTTCTGTTGCTGCTGTTGATGCTAGTGTTGCTATTGTTGTTGTTGTTGGTGGTGGTGGTGGTGGTGGTGGCGGCGGCGGTGGTCACTGCTGCTGCAGTTGTTGTTGTCGTTGTCGTTTTTGCTGTCGCTGTGCCTGCTGGGGAACGCCAACCTTGGTTTACATAGCAGTTGCCCCTGTGATAGGAATGGTGTTCAATGTGGATGGTTGTTGAAAAGGGGGGGGGGTGGGCTCAAAACACCAGACGCGGCTCCAGTGTTTGTCTCCAGGAGCAGGTAGAGACCAAGGCCCAATTGAAATCAGTGCTCTGTCTCTACCTGCTCCTAGAGACAAAAAACTGGAGCCCCGTCCGTTGTTTTCCCCCCCTTTACAACAACCACCCACCTTACACCACAGTTCCATGCCAGGTATCAAGCTCTGCAAAAGTATACCTTCACTCCCTCTGGGTGCCTAGTTCTACCAGTTCTACCAGGGTTTTAGGAAAGGGGTGAACAGTGCATGGCAAGGTTTCTAGCGGTTGTCAAAGGGTTTTAAGATGTTTTAAAGTATGTAGAAGGTGTTAATGGGTTTTGGAAGGGCTTTAATTGTCTTAGAAGCTGTTAATGGTTTTAAGAATGCTCGTCATACGCTCTAAATTCCATCTCAAGCCCTTCTAAGGCACAATAAAATCATTAGAACCGATATAAAGCTCATTAAAACTAGTAAAATCCATTGACACCCTTGCCAGTCCCTGCCGCTGAATACCATTAAAACCCTGTACCGTATAGCGGCTAAGCTCCTGTTTTTTGTCTCTACCTAATGTACAGATAAAGCAGATACATGAGTTGACGGGGCTGCAGTCTTTGTTTGTGCCTCGGTTGCTGCTGCTGCTGCTGCTGTTGTCGTCGTCGTCCTCGCTGTTGCCGTTGGCATCGCAGCTTCGGTCGCGGTTGCTGCTGTTGTTGTTGTTGCTGTTGTCGCTGGTGCCGTTGTCGTTGCAGTTTCGGTTGCGGGGGCGGCGGTTGTCGTTGCTGTTGCTGTTGCTAGCAGCGTCATAGGGGTCGCGACAGTGGCAGTGGTACGGGTAGTCGTCGTCGTCGTCCAGTAGCAGTAGCAGTAGCAGTAGCAGCAGGAGGAGTCCTAGTAGCCCTAGTCGTAAGTGGTTGTAGTAATTGCGCCGGTTGTGTTGGTTGTCATGGCTGTTGTTGTGGTGCTTGTGGCAGTTAGGCTCTTGGTGCTGGTTGAGCAGGAGCAGCAGCGGTTGCAGCAGTGGGGTTGCAGTGATGGCACTGGTAGCTGCTAGCTTACGGCAACTGTCACCGTCCTGGTACTTTGTTGTTTCTGAATGGCCTTGCAGTCCGTGGCCCACCAAGATTGAAAAGCATCATATTACTTCTGAAACGAGTCTTCATGAACTCCCCCTCCTGAGTCACGGACCACCCAGCGCTTCCGTGAGAAGCTGGAGCTGCTGGTCCTCAGAGGCTTGTGTAGGTTGTGAGGCTTCGAGCACATAAAGAAGGCATCAGCGCCAGCGGCCACAAACAAAATCTACACATAGCTCCGTAGTCTCTTGCTTGCACGGCGGATGCGAAATGATCGAGTATTCGAGTCTAGTCCAGTCCTGGTCAGGCACCTGCGACTCCGAGCCATGTCCCCTCATCTTTGAGGCGATCCTCTTCTTGCGCCGGGCTTCGCCTTAGCTTGCCGTCGGCAAGGTCTGAAATCCGGGCTGGCACGCATTCACCGAAGGACCGAGGGCTCTATGCTGTAACTTTCCAGAACCGAAATCCACAGAACTCCTAAAGGATTTTGGCCAAGGTCGCTGGCTGTGCAAAGGTGGCAGTGCAGGCAGTCCGCGCCGTTGGCACAACCCTTTGGCTTCCAGAACCAGCCGCAAGGCTTGCAGCGGCCACTGGCATGAAGCAAGGAGCCCACGGAGCTCAATGAGTTCAGGGAGTCCTGCAATGGTCATCATCTTCATCATAATGATCCCCGCTCGCTATAACCATAACAAGCTACTGTCAACAGCTGACAGCGATACACTTATGCGATGTTAATAACGAGTTCTCTGATCGAAGAGCTACTTCCACATTTCCCGACTGACATCGATGCAATTCGACTTAGACACGGTGATGCCGACCCCGTCCCAGAACTTACGCACGTACACGCATGCACGCACACAAGCAGAATTGCTTCGCCAGCGCCGCGAGTATGAGAGGCCATGACCACCACAAACGCGAGAACATCCCTAACACGAGGAGGTCGGCGAGCTCCGACGGATGGATCAGCAGGAAAACGCCCGCACCACGCAACAGCGGAGGCTGGAATACTATGATTGTCGGAGGGAAAGAGTCAAGGCAACGCTGCACTAGATTGATGGAAAAGACAGAATGACGGACGTCTTTAGTGATTTCCTTCTTTCCTTCGTTTTATCTTGTACCTCATGGCTTCCTTCCCCTCATTCAGATACACAGCCACTCCATTCTGATCTTGAGGTCGCATTGTGGCGCACAGTGTACGGGAAGCCGTTGAACAGCCTTGCCCTCCATGAAGCCCTTCTCTCTTACGTCTCTCTGCTCTCTCCCGTCCTGTGCTTCCTGTTCCGCCTGGAAGGGCATGGGGGGTGCGGGTACGGTAGGCGCCTCGAGTGACTCGAGCTCCTCAAGTTCAAGTGGATCTGAGTCTGGGTTTGGCAAAGAGAGGCCCGGGGGTGGCAGCCCTGGGGGTGGTGGAATGGACAAAGGCAGGGCGGAGAGGCCAGGCGCGGAGATGCTGCCAGCATCTGCGGGGACTGGGACTCCTGGGACTCCTGGGACTCCTGGGACTCTGGCCTTGCGGGCCTTGGCACGGAGCTTCTTCAGCGATTTCAATTCGCTCTTTGGGCATAAGTGGCAGTGAAGGCAGGCGGTGCCATTCAAGCAGCCCTGGGGCTTCCACAGCCATGCGCATGGCTTGCAGAGCCTCATCTCACACTCTCAGCTGCACTCCAAAAAAGGAACATGAAGTATCGGAACGCAATTCGCCCGAGCAGCCCTCGGCCGTGGAACTTGGATCCTGCGGAGGGCCAAACGATGTCCACAGTGGCGTCCGAGAAGACGGGCGACTGGTCAGTCCTAACGGAGAGGTCAAGGAAGCTTCAAGAAGCAACTACTTCTTCCGCTTCTTCCAGTGCTAGGTCGAAGTCTGCAAAGCATCAGAGATCACAGCTTGCATGGAAGAGCACCAGCAGCAGCAGCATCAGCAGCAGGAGCAGGAGCAGGAGCAGGAGCGGCTGCGGTAGATACAGTAATTAGCAGTCGTCGCCGTCGCCACCGCCGTCGTCGTGCGATGTGAGCCGAACCGGATGCGTCATAAGCACCACAAGTAACTTGTATCATGTTGTTGCGAAGCTGCCTGCATTGACAACGACCGCAGTGCAGGGCTTGTTCAGTCGGTTACTTGAGGACTACTGCAAAGGAATCATCTTCAACCAATTCCTATCAGTAGAAGGGGCTGTTTGTGGTGGAGGAACTTTGATGCTGAAGACCTCAACAGATTAGATGCTGAGCGAGGATGTCAACCATGCTGCACCCGACGTGCCTCAGTTCGGGCACCTCGACTTTGACTTTGTCTGTGTCTCGTCCCAGCTTCATGCTATTTTATTTTTGCGTAGCTCCACTGGCTTCGCATGAACTGCAAAGCCTTTCGCGGTTTCGCCGCCTTTTGAGGACCAGCTTTGGAGGCTTAAGTTTACAGCGCACCTCATGCTTTTCTTCGCTGTAGCCTCCCTTCTTGAAATAAAAATAGTCTGAGCCGGTAAATGCTCTAAAACCAGGATTCGAGGACGTCGGTGATGCCCAGCCCGGCAGAACAAGTGTGTCGCTGTCCGAGTCCTTCGAGGCCAAGGCAGCAACTTGAGAGGCTCTTCCCGCGCGGACCCCCCAAACATGCCGAGGAGCAGACCGCCGGATACCAAGAGACTAGCATTCATCGCTTTCATAAACATGTTATAGGGGAAAAATATTTTCCCCTATAATATGTTTAGTTCTTACCACACTGCGTCGTTGCTACTGTTTCTTTGGTTTGATCTAGGTAACCACCAACCTCCACGGAAGCCAAGTGGCCGAGTCAATGGTTTCAAAGGGCAGCACTCCCAGATCATCCTGATCCTCGGGGAGAACCGTGTCACCTCAGCAAGGAGAACAAGGAGCAGAACAAAAGTCCTCCTTCTTCTCTCAAGCTCTCTTTCGCCCATGAAAACTGGTCCTTGTACCACGGGGGCATGGCGAGCTTGGGAGGCTCCAGAGGAGAGCTTGACAGCATTTCGCTTAGTTTCCATATATCTACATTGTAATACGGATTAAGGCCCCTTCGACTCTCGCAGGTTCGGCGGGTGAGAATGCCAAGTCGTCGAGAACCCAGCCTTTCGGCTAACACACTGAGTCCTGCAGATGCCCGACAATCCTTTCATCACGCCGGCGTAGATCTGAAAGACGACATAGTCCACCACTGGAAGCAGATCATCACATGCCGAGACCACTCCAACACCAAACGACCACTCCCGAGACCAATGCAGTGTGAAAAGAGAGGGATCCCCGTGGCGAGAGTGGAAATTCTCATCCGCAGAACTCGCAGAGTACCCTGACATACTGTGGCGAGAAAACTGGAATCCAAACGCGGCAACCAACATACAATAGGCCTATGGAAGGCGAATGATTTGCAGCTCAAACTGCGCCCGGCAGGTCGGCAGTTGGCGAGAACCCCATCAACGCTCGAAAACTAGACGGCCTGGGCGAGAGCACGAATCCAGACTTTGCAAAACTCCCCATGCAATCCGCCATGACGACCGTTGAAGCGATAACGCACCGAAGAACCAGGTCAGCATCGCCCTGAAACGACTCAGAGGAGCTTTCCAGTATTTTCCAAGTCTAAAATGTGAGCGGAACTGGGATTTGCACCCCAATACGCACGCGGCACTGTGACGAGCGCAGCTTTCAAGGCAGCATCTCGGACGGCGATTGTAGCAAGCACGCGATTTGGCACTGTGCCACAGCCGCAGCTGCGGAACCTTCCAGGCGTGCCACGCGGTACTCTGATCCTCCAAAATCCCCCAACTTATGCGTCAGAACATGTCAGAACCTCATACATACTGTTTGGGGGAAAGAAGCTGTAAAGAATCATGCCAGGCCACCTGTGCGCGTCTTGCACATGGCCAGACCAGGACTGACCCTCGGCAGCACATGTGATTATTGGGAGATCACTCAGTGACTGCACTCCAACCTCCGGCCAGTGCAATGCGCCAAGCAGCTGTCTGCCAAAGATTGTCTCAGGAAGGCAATTAGCCATCTTCCTGCACCGGGACAGCATGTGAAGAAAGCGGGTTCAAACGAAGAGCATGCACACCTAAAGTTTCCTAGCCAGCGAAACCACTGCTTGCAGACCTTCGTGTCCTCTGGGCGCATCGTTTCGGGTCTGCACCGCTGAAACATCTGTGGTCCAGGGGTCCACGCGGGGCATGCGAGGGTACATGAAAACCGTAGCCATTCGGCTCAAGAAGCCTGGAGGGTACGTGCAAGAAGATGCACCTACTTGCGAGCGCCTTTTGACAACAACACAAGCAATAACGATCTCCAGCCCCATTCCCGAACCCGGGGCGTGCGGCCTCAGCGCAGATTGCTTGGGACAAACTGGAGGGAACGGGGGAGCTGAGAGCCCGCGGCAGGTTGCGGCATCCAGGGAGCGCATCGCTTTTTAGACAGCAAAATTCGAATTTTTTTTGTCACCGTATATCACGTCGACCTCGTTCTCGTCATCCCCAGAGCTAGCACCATCATCTTAACACCTCTCACATGATCAGCAGCAATATCAGCATCACCGAGAGAATTGCTACTAGTGTCGCCCTAGCGTGCAAAGAGAGCTGGCACTGAAGTGCAGACCATCGTCTTGCTCTTCTTGAAGGGACCTGACAGAAGCCAGCGGAGAGCTCGGCCTATCTTGCACGACTGCACATCCTAGGGCCTAGAGCTGGAGAGCCGGACCAGGGCTCAAGCGCTGAAAGACCCGAATACAATCGGCCCATGACCAGAGCTCACTGGAGGTCCCACCAGAAGCTGTCAGCGCACCCTGGCTGAGCGATTTCGGCAGCAGTTGCCTCGGATGTCATGATTGTCGCGCGACCCTACGTAGGTGTGGAAGCAGGGAGACTGTTACAGCAGGTTGCTGAGCAGCGACAAACTTGGTGAAGTCTACCGGCGCTTCATGTAGTCAGGAAGCCGGAAACAGAAAAGCACCCTGTTCGGAGCTTTGCCCAGAGGACTTCGTTTCTTTCGAGGGCAGTTGTGCCTCAGCAGAGCCTCTCCGGCGAAGCCCATCCGAAAGTTAAAGACGAAGTTCTTCGACAGGAGGATTCATGCATGCACTTAGTGTACCAACGAACTCGAAAGTAAGGAACGAAAACCTCGACCCCAAATTGGGCATGAAAGGCCCTGCACAAAGAACTCCAACCAATGCCGCATACAAGTTGTCTCTACCGGGACCCACACATCTTGCCCGAAGTGGCCGTGCTCCTTGAGGATTTTGTGGGTTTTGTCTGCTTGCCATGATGAACAATGATCTGAGTATCATCGTCTTGGCGTTGGCATTAACCGTCGTACCGGAGAAGTGGCTACGAAAGCTACGACAGGTGAGTGAGCCAGAGAATCCTTCCACACTGCACATGTACACAGGCATACGTGCAAGAATAACGACTGCCAGGATCAATCAGGCATCCCCTGAGCGACGGTGCTCGCTCCAGGCAAGAGAACACGTTCCGACTTGCAACTCTGCTCTAAACGGGCAAGAAACGGGGAATTCAAGCACCCTCCGAAGGCAAGACCCCAACTGCACGCAGAAAGGCAAGTCGTTCAACATCCTGAAGAACTAGATGCTGTGGTCGCACAATACGCCTGAACCGTGGTCAGTGCCACTGACTTCAATTCTTCTCTCTGTGTCATGGTGGCCATGACAAAAGAACAACTGTGGCTGCATCGACCGTTAGGAGGAATGTTGAAGGAGAAGGACAGGCGACCAAGAACGAGACTGAGAAAATCGACCACAAACATGAAACGACTAGAAATGAGAACAGTCTGTAGCCAAGATCATCTGGATATGATGCCAATGTATTCTGGCAGCACCACATTTTGCACATCGCGATTTTGCTTGTATAGTTAATCGCAGAAATCCCCTCAGTAATTGTGATGGCAGCATTCAGTCATGATTTCGACAACTCCTCTTATCGAGAGCTTCTAGATAGCGAAACGCAGCGCAACACCTCTTTGCTTCTGCCTACCGATACAGATATATATATATATATATACAGATATAGATATATATATATATATAGATATATAGATAGATATAAAGATATATAGAGATATATAGATATAGATATATAGATATATAGATATATAGATATATAGATATATAGATATATAGAGATATAGAGATATAGAGATATAGAGATATAGAGATATAGAGATATAGAGATATAGAGATATAGAGATATAGAGATGTGTATATATATATAGATATAGATATATACATCTATGTATCAAAGGTCGCAATGACTAGCGATCAGTACAACTGTCTACTGTGATCACATCATTACGTTACCTTTGTCTATCCTGTTCGCCGACACCATCACTTCAATGCTGGGAAACAGCACGAATCTCAAACTACCTCGAGCCGGAGACCCTAAGCTCGGATGTCCTCTCCAAGTGGAGGCCTGCGCTCCATGTCTGCGATAGGGCCATGGGGCCTGTTCAGGGCACGGAAGCTTCTGAAGAAAGGCACTGGCCCAGCAGAGCACTGCTCAACATGAGGCACCAAGCATTGAAACTTACCTTGTTTCGACGTTGAGCTGCTGGATGTGCTGTCGGGCCTCGCTGCCTCACCCGCTGTGCCGTGCGGTGCCAGGGGTTCGAGCTCCCAACTAAGGCTTGTGTGTGGAGTCGAAGCTGGAGGGAGTCTGAATCAAAGCGTGCTCAGGTCAGCTCGAGCGGCTTCGGCGTGGCGATGTTGCATGGTAGGTTGATTCTGGAACCAAGGGCTAGGAGTCTTTGAGGGGAACGGGCTCTGCCCATGAAACGCACAACAA